GTGCTTTATAAATAAAGCTTTGATTGATTGATTGATTGATTGATTGATTGATTGATTGATTGATTGAGATTGGGCTTATTTTGTTAGAGTTAATGTGATTTCCCACTTAATCTAATCCACAGTGAGAATCGAGACAACGAGTCTGAGCGTGAACACAGGAGCTCTCCTGAATATACTAATGAGGTTTTCTAAAGAGTACGCGTTTTCTGCCCACGTGTGTAACTGGTGCATAGAAATGAGACGATGTTTGAGGGCCGTCCTGGTGGAAAATGTAGCACATGTAACTGCCTGTTTTAACTTTTTTTTTGTTGTAATTTTAGCTCTCCTTTTTGTCTTGTTGTTTCATGTATGTGTGAGCGGGAGCATCATAACAAGAAAAACACGGTTGAGCGACTCCAGAGTGAAGGGAGCGTGTACATGTGTGTGCTTGCATGCATGCGTGTGTGTGTGTGTGTGTGTGTGTGTGTGTGTGTGTGTGTGTGTGTGTGTGTGTGTGTGTGTGTGTGTGTGTGCGTCTGTGTGCATGCTTACGGGCATACATTCATGCAAGTGTGTGTGTGTGTGTGTGTGTGTGTGTGTGTGTGTGTGTGTGTTTTAGAGCATATGTTTTTCTTGACTTGATTTCATCTTTGGTAAACCTCAAAATACTGGTTAAAAATGATGAGTTAATGAAATCACTCATAAGTTTTAAATTAACCATGAACCTGTTTTTCTTTTGTATCTTTGTTTCAATCCGTCCCTGAGAGAAGACGTGTCATGTCCCAGTGAGGTAATCTCGGTTGAAAAACAAGAAAGATAAAAGTGAGAACAGGAAGTACCCCTAACTCCCAAAGCTGAACTTTTTCTGAGGTTGGGTGAGGGAATACAGGGTTTATATCTGCAGCTTGTTTCCTTTAATGCATAAACGTGTCACTTCTCAGCTGGTTGCTAAATCAAAGAAGAGAAGAAAAGAAGGAATAAGCAGAGCATTTATCTAACTCTGTGTACAAACCCTCAGCCATCTCACCCGTTCTGGATTAGCTGCTTTGTATTTTAATCCAACTTTATTTCACTCAGAAATAAATATTGGTGCAGTGTGAATTATTAGAAAAAGGACAAAGAAGGAGGTGTGACAATAATCTCCAGATATTATAAAAGGTGTTTGATGATCAGAAATGATAAATGCTGTCTCTGTTCTCTGAAATTAATTATCTGTAATCTCACGTTCCCCTTTTGACATTAAAGGGAGTAAATGGCCTCCTCCTTCCTCTCAGATTTGTTACTATCCTACATCCATGATCTTTCTTCTTCAAGTCCAATGGATTTGGGCTTTTACTTCTGGCTGTTTGAAGGTTGTTCTGCCACTTTAAAAAGTCCTGCATTAAAATTTTAGCCAAAGCCTCCTGGTCTGGTGTTTGCTCCATGCTTGGTAGGAGGAGTGTTTGCTTCTGGGAACGTCCAGACTTCTGGTCCTTCTTAATTCGGCTTCATCTGTGTGATTGACGGTGTTGCCCTCGGTGCTGGCTCTGACACACCTCTCTGGTTTATGAAACAACGGGGGAGAAATGTGAAAGCCTTTACGTCATCATTATGTTTTCAGTTTGCCATCAATTCTGTGTCCTGACATCGGTATTTGTCCCATCCACATAGCCCAC